TATTATTATTATTATTATTATTATAAATTTAGCCAGAGAATAAATTTCTAAGACTAAAGTCTTAAAGCACTAGCAACTAAGGCTTTCGGCTTTTATTAAAAACTCTACCGCGCTTTTCAAAATTTTTCAATGGCTATTCGACTTCTTACGACATGCGCCTTGGCCTAGTTCTTCCATGTTCGCGAAACATTAAACTTGAGAGTCTAGTACTCTTTAAGCTTGAAAATCTGTGCACATAGTTCGACGTGATAAAAAAAAAATATATAAAGTTTTCGCTTTTACTAACTCAATATTAAGAACGAAGCTAAACGAAAACTTGTTGTAGGTTTTAGGATAAAACATGTTTAAAAAGTTCGTTGATATTTACATATGCATATGCCCTCAACGGTACATAATATATTAGTTTGGGGAAAAAGAAATCCATTATTTTTTCGGTAGATGGCTGCACCGATGGATTTCTCGTAAAGTATCGACCAAACAATTTCCGATACTGTACATTTACATACAGTACATTTCGCAGTAAAAAAAATTCTTTTGCTGTTTTTTGTTTGATGCATTCAGTTGTGAGTTACAGCGTGTTAAAAATGGAAGTGAACAAAGAGAAAATTCGGTACATTTTACAGTTTTTCTTTGACAAAGGCGAAAATGCAAGCCAGGCGGCTAAAATTGTGAATGGTGTTTATGGTTCCGATACTTTAACAGCCAATTATGTGCAATTTTGGTTTCGTAGATTCCGTTCAGGAATTTTTGATATTAAAGATGCACCTCGCACAGGTAGGCCGGTCGTCGAAAATGCCGATAAAATCGGAGAAATGATCGAAGTTGACCGGCATGTTAGCAGTCGTAACATTTCCCAGGAGCTAAAAATCGACCATAAAACAGTTTTAAATCATTTACACAAAGCTGGATTCAAAAACAACTTGATGTTTGGGTGCCACACCAATTAACAGAAAAAAACATGATGGATCGAATTTCCAACTGCGAAGCCTTGGCCAAACGGAATGAGATAGATCCATTTCTTAAACGGATGGTGACTGGAGATGAGAAATGGATCACATACGATAACCCTGTGCTAAAACGATCGTGGTCAAAGAGCGGTGAAGCACCTCAAACGGCCAGGAAGGTTTTGCTATGCATTTGGTGGGACTGGAAGGGGATTATTTATTATGAGTTGCTTCCATATGGCCAAACGCTAAATTCTGATCTCTACTGTCAACAACTGGACCGTTTGAAGATAGCAATTGACCAGAAACGGCCAGAATTGGCCAACAGGAGAGGTGTCGTGTTCCACCAGGACAACGCTAGGCCACACACATCTACAGTGACTCGCCAGAAACTTCGGGAGATTGGTTGGGAAGTTTTAATGCATCCGCCATACAGTCCGGACTTGGCACCAAGCGATTATCATCTTTTTCTTGCATTGCAAAATTTCTTTAATGATAAAAAATTGGAATCTAGGGAGGATTGTGAAAATCGACTACTAGAGTTTTTTGCAAATCGGACAATCCGAAGCATGTTAAATAAAGTCCTGAAGTTCATAAAATAAAATAATGGATTTCTTTTTCCCCAAACTAATATATTCCCATGTGATACCTCTTGCAAGTTATCATTTTAATTGTATAATTAATTTCCAAGTTTATCCTGCATCTTTCACTAAGTGCATCTTGCAGATTTGCTTATTACGTTATTACCTTCATGCAGCGTTTGTGCCTTTAGATACAAAATATGAATCTTCAAATAAATGATTGCTTCGAGAGATGACACAAAAATGTATGTTGCAGAAGTGTATCCTACGGAAATCATTGCGCATCGAGTACGGCGCTGTACTTTGCTAACTCAGCCTCAACGAACGGACTGTCAGGCCAAAAGATAAATCGACAATATATAATTAGTATTAGATTATGGTTTGATCGTTACTTATTCTATATTTTATATTGTTATTATTATTATTATTATTATTCATTATCCTTACCTTGTGAATATTGCAACCATTTATATGATAAACGCATTAATATATCGATATATGTCGTTTGATCATTTCTCGTTTAAATAAATTCAAATATGAATGCAATAAACCATACGTGAATTTTTTGATATTGAAGTATTGTACTCTAAATAAAGAGAGAATATTATTTTATTTCCATTCTAGCTCTCTATACATATGTAAAGTTACACTGAAACTGTTGAGCATGAATTCAATTAGCTTAGTTAAGTTTGAAAAGATGACCTAAATGGGTTTCACATGAACTTCTATCCCTATTTAAGAATAGATATTGTTACGAAATTCGCTTTTCTCGGATACGGTTCGTATCACTAGATCGTGGATATTTTCTTTTGCACGTTTTCAATACAAGACTCGTTTATTTACAGTCAATTTATTTAAGGGTAAGAGTATATACATTCTACTTTGGCAACACTCTCGATTTCTCAACTCAAATATTCTTTTTCGACTAACTGTGCCGTTCCCAATTATTCAATTTATATACATTTTTACAAGCATATTACTATTGCCTAAGTTCGTCGAAAAAGTGGACCGATCCGAACTATTTTCAATAGTTTTCGTCCTTGGACCTAAATCAGTCTGTGTAGCAAATTTCATCACATTGTCTCAAAAATTGTGACCTGCAGCTCCAAGACAAAAGTAAATTTACAGACATCGGACAAACGAACAGACTTTGATCGGCATTATAAAATATGGGTTTATCTTAAGCCCTTCTGGTGGTACCACGGTATAGTGATAAAAAAACTGACGCTATTTATTCTTTAATGCTAAAAAGTGATTTTAAAATCTTATTATAGGATTTGTTATGTTAAAAGTGGTATTGATACTGCCGTGGCATCCCTTGGAATAAGTTTTCAGTAAACATATGTAATTTGAGAAATTAAAAAAAAGGGCAATGGAAACGATGACAAGGATGAAGTATCGGACTAAAATTTTTTGGGAATTGTTAAAATTAGTAAGAAGCCCACAAATTGGCTTTGTCCATCTTAACTAAACATCCAAAAAAAAAAATAAAAAATAGATAAATCAAGATATATTTATATATATACTACAGTACCAGAATTTTTTCGTGACAATGTTTTCTTCATGTCTCTTCTAACTAAAAATGCGCAGAGAACATTCAGTCGATGTGACTTTGTCGATCAAGAGCTGCATCCAGCTGTACATGTACCATGGAGTGATGCAGTGGCGTATTGTCAATGGGCTGACAAACATTTGCTCACCGAAGACGAATGGAGAGTTGCTTGCGGGAGTGTTAGAAATCGTAAGCACTTCCCTTGAGGCAATAAACTAATATCTAAAGGACAGCACTGGTATGTTCGTTTTTTAAAGAAACAATATTCCATGCTGATCGTATTTTTGGCCACTAACGATAACGTTGTAGCTAAGTATCCTTACTGTTGTGTATCGGATGCATAGATTGGCTTGGAACGCGTACAGACATTGTCAAAAAAGCCGGTAGGAGCGGGTACGCCGGCCATTTTGAAAAAAAACTTGTTTCGTGTTTTTTTTTTTTTTTTAATAACGAGTACTCTTTTTCTAAGACCTTGGGGAAATTTGATTAGAAAAAAATATTCTCGAAAGTTGTTTCAAGCCAAACAAAAGACAAAATTTCTGCAAAATATACAGGAACTTACTTACCTCCACCATTAAGTTATAATCTAGAATGTTTTCAAAAATTTTTTTTACAATTTCGTGATTTTTTGTATATATTTATTAAGATCTGTTGTTGCAATTAAAGCAATGGTACTGTTTTTTATTAAGCTATGAAACGTATATTAGCGTAGCACATAAAACTCGGAAGAATTTCTCGCGATTTTATCTATTTGAGAAACATTCGCACACGGTATATATATTTTATTCGGCGCAATATGTGGCATGGTCATGTATACATTTGACGAATGAATGCAAGAATAAAGTTGAATCGACATCCGAATACCTCTTATTTCCCGCTCCTTTGTTTTCTTACAAGGCTAGAAGAATGAATGTAAAGTTGTAAAAAGAAAATCGCGGTGAAGTCTTTAGCGAACAGGGAATATTGTTATTCCCATCTTTCGATGACGATTGTGCGACGATTCAAATACTCTTTGAAAATGATATATTTATTAATTGCCGTAAAAATTTTAAGTGAGAGTTTTAATGAATTCACGCGTACTTTTTAGGGTAAATAAACTTTTCGAAAAGGTTTGGTTTTCATAATTAAAGCAACCTTTGTTTATTTCGCTAAATATTGCGTTTTCTTTCTCAAGTCTTTAATTGCTCCATCTTTCGAACTTTTTCGAACTTCGTTTCGGAAATTGTGTCTGCGATTTTTTAGCTTTTGCGTTTTGCCATGCAATGAATTCCCTCTAAATAATTCGAAATATGTTATAGCGTAAACCGAAATAATTCCAAATCCATTTTGATTCGAAATACAGCAAAGTTTCCCTTTATACACTACATTACAAGACGATGCGAGAGCATATTAAGTGTGTACAACACATGTATAGAACGTCCAGAAAGATCTATATATATCCCATTATTTTGAACACCGGTCAAGTCAGAATCACTTTCGGAAATTATCTAAACTTATCCGCAAGTGTGCGTGTCTTAGATTTTTCCGTTCAACGCATAGATCGAAACTTTTAAGATATTTTGATGAAATTTGGTACACCGACGTGTTTTGGCCCAGTGACGGACGCTATTAAAAATGCTTCGATAACGAATATGTATATATGAACAACTGTATTAAGAGAAGCGATGTAGAGTGTTTAATGGTGATCTGCGGACCACTATAATGTTTTTACTTGTTTTTTACTTCTATCTAAATATACTAAGTCTTGTTAGAATTTTACAAAAAAAAAAAAAAGAAGAAAACAGGTAACAAAAGTTATATTCGGCAGGAACCGAATCTCGCATACTCACCATTATGTCTTTCACATTTTTGTTTTCTAAAAGCTTTTGTCGAAGTAGTAAAATAATCTGAAGTGAAACAAAATATTTTCTCATATAGTTTATCGTATACGTGTAATTATTTCACTAATTACATGTGTATTATAAATTTTATTCAGTAATATGTATAAATATTATATAAAATTATGTATAAAATTTTTTAAATGATTAAGTATAAGTTTCTATTAAAGTAGACATATGAAGACGTATTTATTTATTTTTTTTTTAAATATATGTAAAAAAAAAATCTCTACATTACTTTCTCAAATAAATGCGTAGATAAGGAGCACGAAAAAATAATTAACTTTTTCATTTGAAAATTTAAAAAACTAGCGAAGAAAAATAGAGAAAAGAAAATAAGAAAGTGTGTAATTACAGCGTAAGCAAATAGCTTCTCCGAAAACTGTTCCCTCTTCTATTATGTTTCGTTTGAGCTGGTATACGAAACGAAAATTTCTTAATATTAAGCTGTTTCAGTTTTGTCTACAAATTACAAACAAAAAAAAAAAAAAAAAAAACATGTACAGTATAAAATTTAGTCTACATAATGAACCCCTATTCGCGGAAAGCCTATAAGAGGTGCAGGTTTAAATTTTTTCTCTCAATACTTTGTGACTTTAAACCTTTGAACGGCAGATGGGCGCATGAAATGGCAAACGGACAGTCATCGCTAAGTTTCTGGTGCATAGTTTTTAAGTGACGCCAAGAGGATGAAAAATCTTAGCATATGTCCACCTACCGATAAATAGGTACATAAATAAATAATTGCGTTTATATTCTTTCCTTTTAAATTATAAATTACAACTATTTCTTGCATTTAAGTACAATAGAGAGGAAAGATATCTTTTTATTTTTATTCCGTATACAAAAAATAAAAGTAAACAAGAATTGCACATTGAATTTAGCTTAGTTTATATTAGTTCCGAATTTCTAAAAATAAATAAAATGCAATAAACTTTCTTACACTGCCAGCCATTCTCTACTGAACTTTCGTATATTTCGATTTTGCTCATAGCATCTCTTCTTTTCGAAATGGCAAGATTTGCAAGGAAACGTCTTCCTTACCGAACTAAGAATTTTTCTGCTTTTCTTTGTTAAACAACACAAGCTCGTTGTCAAGCTTTAATAATTTTTTTCTATCTAAAAATAAAACTACATAATAAAAAACTCAAATAATAATAATAGTAATATAATAATAATAATAATAATAATAATAATAATAATGATAATAATAATAATAAAAATAAAAAAAACATTAAGCAAACACAATTTTCACAGGGCCCAGAGGCAATTGTTTCATGTAATTCCAGGCATCTACACGAGTCATTTTCGTAGTGGCTGCCCCATCTATGCTTAAGATCTCATCACCGTTACGTACTTGTCCAGTTTTTTGAGCAGCACCACCTACAAATGTTCTCATAAATATCTATAACTTGTTTATTAGTTCACGTAAACATACCCATGAAGACTTTTTTAACGATTAATGGTCTGTTGCCTAACGGAGAGTCGAAACCTCCTTCGATTGAAAATCCTAAGCCACAGCTATCTTTAATGATCTCCACAGTACGAGCACCATTAAGGGTTGTAACCGCTTCCTCTATAATTTACATTTGTTCACATAAAGAGTATTTTGTTAAGAAAAGTCCCAAATTACCTTGAGCTCTAATTTCTGCCGCTAGAGCATTGCGGGTCTCTTGAGCTCTTTCCAGTAATTCACTGGTAGTCATTTTACTAGCGTCGGGTCGTGTTAATTGCCTCCTGGCTCTTATGCTGGCTAGAGTAGCTGATTCTGTTATGACAGCCGGTTGAGGACTACTACGGCTACTGGAACTTGTACTGGTCGGTGTAGTAACTGCTTGTGTTTTTGTTTTACTGTTATTACTAGTTGTAGCACCATCTTCACTTGATATAACATCCAAGTCCAAGTCCAGAGATCTAGAGGCTTTGTGATAATTGCGTTTCTTCTCGTAATCAATTTCTATGGGCTTTTCGTGCAGAGATGACAGCGAACCCAAAGAGGAACGTTTTTTAGATAGAGGTTTTACTATAACAGATTCGGAACGTGTTACCACTAAAACTACTTCAGGGCGGGGTGTCTGTAATTGCGAAAGGTTTATGTATTCAAGTTGTTCTTTTCATTGGCATTTTTTCATTTCTGATTACTTACCTTTAAAACTGTTATGGATTCACGGTGTGTTAAGCCGCGCATGCTCATTCCATTGACCGCCAATATACGATCGCCTTTTTTTAAGCGACCGTCTTTAGCAGCCGGTGTGTTGCCCAAGATTTTGTGTATCTAAAATGCATAGTGTGAAATAACCGTTCTTGCATTGAATTCAGATCAATTACCGTAATTTCTTTTGCTTCATAATCGGATCCTCCCGCCAGCGTAATGCCGATACTACTTTCCGGCGTATCCCGCTGCAAAACGATAATAAAAGCTTCTGGTGTTTTTAAAGGAGGATCGGCTTCCTCAATGATTTGTTGTATATCTTGAGCGGTAATCAAACTCTGATTGCTGCCAAGCGAAGAGAAGCTACCGAACTCGGTGGTGTTCTCCTGAGCCGATGAAATATTTTGGGTTGTCGAGCTGACACCCGATGACGAAGAAGCTATAGAATCTAGTGAATTAAAACGTTCATGATAGCTTGATTTCATTTGTGACTTGACGTTCAATAAATTATTCGTCGACACAGCTGGTGAGACTGTATGATTGGCTACGGCAGCAGAGCGTTCAAATTTCTCACGTATCTCAGCTGTACTAACTTTAGTAGAGCATTTTCCCAGAGCAGTGCTGTATAAACATTTTGAGCTACTTGTGCTTGTAGTAGTATTAGAGTTTTCAAATTTTTCCAAAACCGGCTTTAACGAACGTTCTGCAGTTTTATTTAAAATCTTGGATTTAGCGACTTCCACATGCATCCATTGAGTTAACTCACTAGAGTCATTAGTTATTTTTTTCGCGTTCGGTGTAACAGCTTCGACTGCTCTCTGCGGAGTGATTGGCTGAACTGGAACCGCGTTTATAGGTGCAATAACTTTCGACGGCTCTATATGCTGATGTTTGGGTTTGCTAACTGCTTTTTGATTATGATCAGCTTTAAAACTGTTTTTACGTTCTTCATCGATAAACATGGCACTGAGTTTAAGAGGAGAACTACTATCGGCTGATTTGCGGCTGCTGTCATCTGTATCTGAAGTAACTTCTACATAGGCCGCCACATTAATTACTTTGTCCACAAGGCTTTGATCATTTTTGGAGACCAATTTATAGTTAATAGGTGCTGTGGGAGAAGCGGCTTTGGATGGTAAAGTAATTAAGGAACTGCTGCTTGATAACGTAGATCTTGGTTTAGACTTGTGCACTCTTCTGACTTCATCCTCGTCATAACCATCTGTACTATCTTCGTCGTCGTGGTAAGGGCGATTGCGCAACAGCACGGAGGTATCACCGCGACCGTTGCGGCATTTGGCAGAAGCTAAAATGTTCTTACGATTGGTGGCCGAATCGTTTGACCCAGATTTCAAGATCCGGCGTGATAAATCCACAGTAGGAGTACTACCCACCGATGAGCAACTGGCTTGTGAGCCGGAGCCTGACGTTAGAGTGGATGTGGTGGAACTGGCTATAGAGGTATTAGTCTCTGAGGAGAGGGTTCGAGTAAGAGCGAATTTCTCGGGCACTTGTGGTACACATGGAGACATGGGTGGTGACGAAATCCTTGATGAGAATACGGAGTCACAAGAATCACTCTCCTCATGGAGTAACTGTCGTGGAACAGTTAAAGACGTTCTTGGTGGCTTAGCTGGCGGTATTGTATTTAAAACTTCCAATCTTCTTTGAGCCACGGTGGGCATTTGATTGTTGTTGGTTCTAAGGAATGAGCCTTGATTAAAAGAACCTCGATTAAGGGCAATGTTAGCGTTGTTGTTGTGTGTGGTGATGTTCAAAGGCCTTAGAGGGCTGCTTAAACTTGAAGTGGTGGCGACAGTAGTAGAACTAACCTCTGTTCGTTTAGAGATCCGCGGTACCGTTAGGCAACCTGACACTGAGCCTACACCACTATCAGTGGAATCTGTTGACGACGTATTGCCTGATTGCTTAATTTTCTCACTATCACGGCTTTTAATTTCCGGTAAATCTAAGATAGGTTCCAAAGTAGAGACTGCGATGTGAGGCCTTTCAGGAATAACCAAGCCACGCAGCTTGGAAAGACTTTTCCTTCTTTGTTCTAAAATATTTGTTATTGCTGCTTTGCGAGAGGCTTCATCGGGGACATATACTGGCTGGCCATTAAAGCTTGTTCTACGCTCTAGCTGTTGCTGAGAGGCATGGCGACGTGGTAAAGAAGCATAACTTTGGGTATATTCGGTTTTTAAGGTGCTTAAGGAATGCATAGAATCGGAATATGTTTGTGATGGTATTTGCTTAACAAACTGGTACTGTCTGTTAGCATCGTTTAGATTTTCCACGCTCATGGCTCTCGATTTGGAAAGATTGTTTATAACCGCATGTCTCTTAGCACTACCGGAATCTAAAAGATTTTCAGTGCTCAGATTTAAGGGCTTATTTGTACCGCTAGTACGCGAAAATGTTATAGGTTTTGTGGCAGGTTCCACACGTGTAGAGTCGTCATTAGAAAACATGGCAATTTTATCTCGTACGCTTTTCTCAGACTTCTCATCCTTACGCCAATCGCTGTGACGGCGAGGAGCACTTAAAGATCGCCTATAATCACTAGAATCGTAAGTGGGAGCTTCTGGTTTAATGGCCGTAGGTGTGGTGCTGCCACTACTGGCGCTGCTACTCAGATTGTGAGTAGAGCGACTGTGACGGTTTGCTTCTAAGCTTAATTTCACGGAGGGAGAAACGTTTGCGGTATTATTCAGGTTATTGTTAAGTCGACTGTCTTCCACATTCACTATCAAATCTTGACGATAAATTTTACGTGGTACTGCCGCTGGAGGACCGGATTTAGGTAATGGTGGTACGGATTCATTTGTTAAACTGATGGGTAATTTTTTTTGTTGCTCAACTTCTCCAGTAGTGATTGCTGTGCCATTGCTACAGCTGTTAGTAATATGCGTACTACGTGTGCTGGCCGCTATAGCTTGAGCATATAATTTTTCGCTATACACAGTGGTATTTTGCCCCGTCTTAGTACAGGAATTGGCAGTTGTGGTGGTAGTAACGCTTTGCATTAAACTGGTGGCCTTTAACATATTGCTGGATGGCATTATTAGAGGTTCAGTAAAGTTGGGTGGGAATTCATGGCCATCGGGTGGTAGACGTGAATAGGTGGGCGGTGATGTTAGTGTTATATAATCGCTGACAATTGCTGGTGTTTGTGGCACTACATGTATGCCGTTCTCCATTTTGTTCAATTGTCTTTGATCAAGATCTGCACGTATGTTAACCACAAGCAATAAATACACGAGGAAAGGTGATGATTGTAAAAGAGACAACATAAAACACAACATAAACAAAATTAGTTAGATTGTGAGGATAAATGGAATAGGTTTATAGCAATTAAAGAAAAAAAAAGGGAAGTAAATTGAAATTAAATTAAAAACTGGCGTACTCGTCAGTTTCTTAAACCTTAAATTGAAATGATTACAGAATCATTCGAGTTTTAGAAATTTATGTTTATTAATAAAATAATAAAAATATATATATATATATATATTAATTATATAAAATTTTGGGAGTCAAATGTGAATGTGAACGGATAGATGGATAATTAGTTATCAAAGTTTCTGTTAGGTTACAAATAGTAGGAATTGGAAAAGTAATCTGAAAAAATGCAAAAGTCCAAAACAAAGGTCTTTAGAACGATTGGCTTTTAATGAAAAACGCTTGTGTGTAATTAAGCGTTATTGTTACGAAAATCACATATATGATAATGTAAATCTGCATGAAAACTACCGCTTATTGCGGAAAACGAAATTCCATAAATTGTTGAAATTAAATAGTGATATGCAATGCTCTAGCCGCTGATGCTACAAATTAAAGACACCTTATGCAGCTGAATATTTGGATAAAGATGTAACTATCCTCACGTTTAACATAATATAGACGATCTACATTTCAGACATTTTGGACGCACAGTCGTTATTGGTGAGTGAGTGGACGTGAGTGTTTTCGTGAACATCGAAAGGAATGTGTATCTTGGGTCGCCACTAAGCATTGCCTTTTGAAAAACAATATATCAAAGATGGGCAGTTAAATTCCAGCGTGGTCATACCAGCTTGGATGGCGTCGAACGGTCAAATTGGACGAAAGCTTTCTTCCTAAGAGAGAGGGGACAGAGGCTATAAACGTATTTGCTGCATATTCAATCAATATTTAGGCCTGATAATGCCGACAAAGTTACATTCGCAACATAAAGAGAGTTGTGTCGTCTGTCCCTGTGCTCGGCTGTGTAATATCTGTAGTAATCACACCCTTGGCCGAAAAAGTGAAGCTATTCGATTCAAATTTACCAAAACATTGAACATTCTTGTGCATTCAGTGAACATCTTTCTTCTTCTTACTAATCTTCTTATAGGGATAGTTTTGTATTTTTGGTTTTGCTTTGCAAAATATTATTGGAATATTTCATCAATTTTTTTATTCAAAAAAGAAATAACATTTTTTTTTTTTACATTTTTCAAGCCATATATATGTTAGCATAAGCCTTTCATTTGATTTATAATCAGAAGAAATGATGCCAATGATGCCAACTTGTAAGACTCTTTGCGTTAATCAATGACTCATCGTCCTGTTATTTCTGAAAGTCATTTATGAAATACGTGAATAAACGACGCATGCACGTAAGTGTCCCAAGGCAAGAAAATTGTTTCAAAAAATGTTCCTTTCATTTGGAATTCTATGCTTCACATTTGCAACAGTCATCATCGTTACGGAATTTCTGACCGTCAAGCAGGAAATAAGAGAGCTTCTAAAAAATGTACAGAAAACAAGAACCGGAAGTTCGATTTTAAGTACAAATACAAAACCTATCGCAGGTAGATGTTAAAACGAATTCTTGATGCCCATCAAAATCATTTGTTCTGCAAATGTTCCGTTTTTCACATAATCAACACTTAGTTATGGTAGTACGTAAGGCTACCGAGGCACTATCTACGAAACGATGTACATGTGCAAAGTTATTATGTACCCCTAATAATAAGAGGTTTGATACTTGTAAACGACGAGTGCTTGCAAAGGAATGACGTCATATATGTTGAAATTAGACTTGGAATTTTGATACATCAACATTCAATTTCATATTTCAGTTGTCTATCCTTATGCGTGTTCGACAAATGCACTGTTCAGCGTAAACATATCCCATAGTCAATATTATTCCACCACAGACCAATTGCTACATAAAGAATTGAGTATGGTTTTTATACACTACATCACGTGTGATATGTACACATATTAGTTTACTGCGGATGTGTGCAACACCCAGGAGAACTTGAGAATGGTTCATGACAAATGCTTCCCGTCTTATTTTGAAACGCCATCGTATCACTAACTGTAATGAACGATATGGTGTAGATAATTAACGGTATTTTTATTTGTCATTTTTATTGATCGAAAACTCGGCACAATTCTGTCTGTCAAACAAATGTTTCAATCAGTTTATTGAAACGGTTAAAATGACAAAAAAACTCCCGGACTTTTGTTTATTTGCTTGAAAAGCAAGTATCCTAGATGCGCTAAACGGTAGGTTTGTGCGCCACAATAACTTTTACGTGATTTATTAATTTGACTTTCTTGCGTGTACGTCAAGATGAGGCAAATGATATGAAAATGTTATTTTATTTAATTTTACAGATATAGAGATAGAGATATCTCTTTCTCACTCAACTGGATTCATTCTTGAAAAACAGTAATTTCCTGCACGATGCCCACTTAAATTTTCCGTCTGGACATTGCACCTCGAAACTTTGAATTTCGTCACGGATTCCATAAGCGATAACATTAACGTTGTTATGGGCTGTGTTCTTGTCGGTCTGGATCTAAAAAAACCATTTGATAGAGTCTCACACTCTAAGCTTTCCATCAGTTGTGTTAGAAGAAATTCAACTTTTCTCGCAGTACGCGTAAGCCTACGTGTTAGTAAACTTGGGATGACTTTAACTCTTCTTTTATTGAGATTATGTCTGGTGTACCGAAAGGTGACATTTTTCTACTTTATAGAGATAATTAAAGTGATGTGCATTCGTTTGAAAACAGTATTAACGAGTCTTTAGCAATGGTTAACTCCTGCATGGTAGACAATGTGCTTTGCATTAACTCCAGTGAAACTACAGCCCTGTTGTTCACTGTTCGCCGTGCTGGGACACTTAACTTCGTTAGAAAAAAACCCAGTTAATTCATTGATCTTGTAGATTCAATGCAATGCCTTGGGGTAACCCTCGATCGCAAACTGTGCAAACTAAATGTGTATCCGCCTATAAAAGTTAAAAGTACTACTGCACAGTTGGCAATCATGGCGCATGTTAACTATTGCATTGAAGTCTCTTTTGGTTGTCCAAGATATAACTTGGATAGCCTTCAAGGTATTGTCAATCGCATGACACGTTTTCTTTATAGTTTCAAATTTAGACACCATACATAACTCCTCCTGCGTTCGTGCTTTTTTAAATTTCTCCTTTCCCCGATTATTTAAAATTCAAGTTGCTTATCTATCTCTACAAAATCATCAATCAAATTCGACCCCCAAGCCGTTTAGTTGAACGACTGCAGTTCTCTAGATCGACTAGAAAGAAAGCCTTTTATATTAATACCACGTTTATCTAACTTATCATCCGAACGATCTTTTACGGTTCGTTTTGCTAGATATTTGAATGCCTTACGACTGAATTTTAATTCCTTCGATGATTCTTTGAATACGTTTGGAAGAAAATTGACCGCACTGAGATAATTGCTAATTATCCCAGTAGAATTTATGGCGCAGGATGATTACATGATTACATTAGCAGTCAACTAAGTGACTTGTATATGGATTTATGTTATAGTTTCTTTTTACACATGAAATCTATGTAACTAGGTAGGTAATTATGTTTCTATGCCGTTATTGTTATTGAATAAACGAATAAATTAAATATTATAATTACAGGACCTATCTACTCTAGAAGAGAAATCTGGCTTTTTCCATAAAAAAACGTTACGCTTCGAAGAGCAGATAAATTCTTTCGTTTTTTTTCCGTCCCTGCAAATGAATTTTTTCTTTATATCTTTATCTCATTTTCAGAAAATTATTTGGAAAATCTGACTAAATGTTTTATAAACAAGTCCGTAGAATGAGTAAAACGCGAAAATGTTATTTGTCGGTATTTCACTGTTTGATCTTGACGGCATTCGCAACTAATCGTCTCATACTTTGCTTTCCTTCTTGTGTATAACACTGCAAAATATTCGCAATGTTGATGATGATGTTTATCATAATGATGGTATTTGATAATAGAGGAACAAAAAAAAAAAACAGAGGGTTATTAAATGTGTAACGCATTGCAATTGCGTAGACGCACATACACGCACACAATGTGGGTATGAAAACAAGCATAAAATTTCAAATATTCGACTAATGAGTATTAAAGAAAATTCTTGAAAATTACACATATACCTATGGGCTGGTAAATGCATACATACATGCATACATACATATAAAAAACATTTTTATACACGTTTTCTCTGAAAGTTCTTTTATATCCTACTTGGAAAAGTATTTATTTATCTTATAATTTTTATTGCCCTTAAAAAATTAACAAAAATTTCGACGATGAGAAAAAGTTATATATATATATATAAAAAAAAAAAAAAACAAATAAATAAATGAATAAAACGATGAATAAATAAAAACGGAAAATATGCAAACAAGCTAAGAAAGTCTTGTGTACATACCAGTAACGCGTTCAGGCATTCACTCACTCATTCGCTCAGTCAAGGAGTCGGTTAGAAGAACACCTGTCATCTACCTTCGCTGACTAACTTTTAGGGTTAAATACTTGCACATGAATACACTTTTGTTTTATTTTACTCATGAACATGTAGGTTTCTGAACGATGGCATTTTCTTCTGGTCTCTCTTTCCTGTTCACACAACACCTGATATCGTTTTAAGGAGAATGAAGTAAACATGAAAATATAATAATAATTACGATAGCAAAGAGAAGTTAGCTGCTATCGCTTATTGTTAAGACTTCTAAAAACTTTGTTGCAAAAACGTAATTTACGCCGCCATAAAGCGTTACAGTTCTTAATGCCTCGCAAGAGAGATAAAGGGAACAATTTCTTTGAAAAAATAGTTTTCATTTATTACTTTAAACGGCTCTTTTTACATATTAGAAAACTATAAAATGACGCATAATTTCAAATAATGTTTCAAAGATTATGCAACAAAAAAAAAAAA